ACATATTATTTATTAAATATATAGAAGAAGATATATAGTGAAAAAATATATCGTTGGAACCGAAGGTTAAATAAAAATTATGGATATTAGAACTTTACTTTTGTTTATATAACCGTTAAAATATTGTTTTGTTTTCTGTTAAAAGAAATTATAACTTTATTTACAAACGGTTCAGTTAAGTATTCACTATTATTATTTTTTAGTTTATAATTCATTAGCCTTAATTCTTAGAAAAATATATATAATGGAATGGAAAAATATACATGAAAGCCAAAGGTTATATAACATATTGGATATTATAAGTTTAAGTTTGTTTCAAATATATTTTTGTTTTCTGTAAATGAAAAGTTTACAATCTGCTAAATAAGTACAAACCTTCTATAATTGTAACAAGAGTTATAAGTCCTAGATATTGTTATTAATTTGATTAGTCTTCTCAAGTTTTTTTTTTAACATGTTGGGACATTAACACACAGCACCATCTAGTTCCATCGTAAGCTACGAGGCTTGTGTTATGTATACCAGATAGTTGATACACTACACATATATAAACTTTAAAAACATACATATTTTAAATATAAACACCCATGACTGGAGTACAAACATTCATGCTCATCAGACAATGAATGCCCCCAGCGGACCTCTACCCGCGACCGCTGGCACAACAAGTAGGGTCACTACACACTGAGCCAAACGTGTCGTCAATTCAGTTCGTTCTTCACAAAAGAGATAATTTAGAATCTTTTTTTAAATATAAGGCTGGATATTCTTTTTTTTATTTAGATGTGATATTTTTAAATTTTTCAATTAGACTAACTAGAACAAATGGGAAATTATTTCGTTTAAGGCAAATACTTGTCAAAAAATATTCGAATATTCGTTATCTACATCACTAATATTAATGTGAATATTTGCATTTTTCTTTTTTTACTAGGTATATGTATATTATAAAATGTATGAATATAATATTTAATAAGTAATTGTAAAAATGAAACAAATGTTTTCATTATACTAAATGCCTTTATTATTATGTAAACTCTTATTGTAAGGAAGACGAGGTTTTTAGCATAAAAATGTACTTAAAATGTATTAACAAAAATAAAATAAATTTAAAAACATTAATAAAAATTTGTATTTAAAAAAAAACCTATTTCCTTTTTGAAAAGAATTGCAAAGGATTGAAATAAAAGATGCTGAAAAATCAGACAATTTGACACATTCACAAGTGAGGCCACCATTACTGGACACATCAAGACAGAATAACTGTTGAAGCCAGTGATGATGGTCTCAACTGAGTTAAAATTTCTGTCAAACTATCTAGAATCCCAGTTAAACGGTTAAACATTTGATTTTGGATTTCTTCCATTTCAATCCTTCGCGATTCCAATCGAAGGCGTTCCATCTCCCTCTGATGGTTATTTTTTTCGCGGTCTTCCTCCAATTGCAGTCGGCGATTCTCGACGGTTACGAACTCGCTCGTGGCTCGTTCGAATGGTGTCTGTACTCGCCTTGTGCGTGCTCGAAGCAGCCTATGCCGCCGCGGCGTAGACGTGGCAGGTGACGCCACGGGCGAAGGGGTCGCCGGACGCCTTCGTCGTTGTGGTTCGCCTCGTATAGTTGTATTACGAGACGTCGCTGACGGCATCGGCGTGGTCACAGAGGCGAGCGGTGGTGTTGACACTCGGGTTGGAGGAAGACGTGAAAGTATAGAGGGAGATGGCAGTTGAGCTGATGGGGCAGGAGACGCTGAGGAAACAAAACTTATAGTTACAAACTGATATATATATATATATATATATATATATATATATATATTACTTCTCAAATAATGCCCTTACCAATGAACAGCATTTAATTTTTATTTATATGACTTAACGCTTTGTTAACCCTTTGGGCAATACAAAGCAAGGTGTGAATTATACATTATAATCCTTCACGTGCAAATACATTTTAGCACATAATGAATACAAGTAGAAAGTACCTTCTATAGAATACAACATAATCTCGTCTGCGGCAGTTTGGGAGGGAAATTCAGTGTGGACGGTATCTCTGGATGGTGATGGTAGAGGGCTTCCTTGAAGTGGTGGTTCCTGAGAATATGACAAATATACATTAAAGAATTCAACCTAAACCCACTTATTAGTGGGTAGTAGTAATCTAATATTACTATTATTACAACTACTACTACAAAAATCACAAGGAAAGTAAATAACTAACATCAAATCCTCTCTCCTCAATTCCAACTAGACCAAAAACAGCAGACAAACCCATTATGCCCAACACCCTTTGTTCCGAAGCTGTGAGAGTTTGTCTGCTGCTTGGACCACCACCAGTACCACTAGCCTCGCGACGCATTGCCAAGGCCTTTTTTTTTGTTTTGGCTTTCCAATCCGCCCACACCTGCAGATATTAGTCAGTTAATGTTAAACAATGTAAGTTGTTATCTAATTATACAGTCAATTAAGTGAACAGATTGTTATATACACTGATATCTACTATTATTCTGTTTATTGATAATGAACAGATTTTATTAGTATGTTTAAAGTTGTGTGAGAAAGATGAAGGACATATTTTCATATAATTATTTTTGCCTCTTTTTACTATATAGTAAATATTTATTGTACCTTATGATTGGTTTGCAATTGTTTTAATTAAACTAAAATAGATAAATATGCTAACACTAGTCTGAGCTTGAAATACCTATAAAAAAATGTATAATTTTATTGAGAGCTTTTCTTGAGAATTAAAATAATGGATCTCACTTTTTTCCATTTTTCCATTGATCTATTGACTCCTCCACCAATGGAGTTAAGTAACTCTCTCAACTCCTGCAATAGATGGTCTGCCCTTATCCTGCCTTGAGCCCCTTGTTGGGGTCTTGCTATATCTCCATGGCTATAAATTAAAACTATATTAGAAAAATAAAGGGTCTATTGATTAATCCCTCCACGAGCGCGGACACGCCGGCATGTCAGTTAACAATAAATTTCTTAGAATTTTAATTAATTTCTTAGAAATTTACCTAGAGGTGTCAAGCGTTTTGTTTGTTTTCTATGCAAGTAGTAAACCTATTATATTTTATTTATTTTTTGTCAAAGGCTTACTAACTATATTTACATAGTGACATGAGTTTAACACAATAATAGTTCTCTATTTTCTATTTAATTAATTTTCTTCTTTTCTATTTAATTCTATTTAATTAACTAAAAGGCACAGCTTTGTGTAGAAATATTTTAATTAAATTTTATGTGGTTGAGGAATAAATTAAAAAAAGATCTTCAGTTACAATCCCCTATATAATGCGACAAAACGCAAGTATGATAAATAATATACAACAAATAAATATATATATATATATATATATCATCAAATCAAAGTGCATTTTATCCTCCATAAATTGAAAAAAAAAAATCGAAATCGGCCAAGAAACAAAAAATTTATGGCCCAATAAACAAAACTGGGCAAAAAGTGGATATTATATATTGACAATATAGGTACCCCGGTGTTGTCTTCTAATAAATTAAAATTGGTAGTGACATTGAAGTTGTTCAACAATTTAATCTTATCTAAATATTTAAATACAATTTCTCTTTAAATAAACTTAAGGTGTTAGGGAAAATGTCTACATTACATTGTTGAAATATACAGTTATAGTTTAAAGCCTCAGTCAGAGTAGCCTCGTTTTTTTCTAGTTCCTGAGTATGACTATAAGCTGAGATAACTAATAATAATATACGTACCTTTCCATGAATTCTAGTAAAGCTGAAAATTGTTCTGGGCTAGCTCGGCATCTGGACTCCATCCTCACTATAATAATTTATTTATATTTGGCACTGTGATATTAACAACACACACAGACTCAGTACCCCAGCTAGAAATGTGTCGAACTTAAGCTAACTAACCCATTTTAAAGTAAAGCTCTTTCCCCTCCGTTGCGCACTTCCATCCCCGTAACACTAATAACTACAAAGTCAAATACATAAATATTTCAATAGACCCTTTTTAAGACAAAACTATTTTTCTTAAAGTGACGACTTACATTACGAGTCACTTCATTTTGTCAAATAAAATATAAATTAATTACTCTGAAGGAATGCTATACTTACTTAAGCGACGATTTTAAATCACTTATCAACCACTTCATAGGTGCTGAACAAAAACATCCACTCTACATCGACCTCACGTAAGCTGCATTCTTGACGTAAAATGTAAATATCCTTACGTTAAAATAAGAATATTGAACACTCAAGTATTTCCATTATAATACACTCACTTTTTTATCACAAAACAAAACATATTTTGATTTTTCAAACAAGACCGTGACTTTGACGTGTATAGGAACGCTCACAATAAGCTATTTTTCGATCCACATTGTAGAATGAACGATTGACACTGTAGACACTAGTTTTGTTGATATGGCTAGCATCAAATCGTTTTCTAAAATAGTTATCGACAATACGCTACCAATGATAGAAAGAGATTAGATAGGAAACGTTTGTAATATGGCTAAGCCCCCAGTTTATTTATCTTTATTATATCTTATCGAACATGCTAATACAAGTACAAGTCTATCGATGAGACCATGCCACTTTCTACCCACGCATAGTAAAACTGTGCTCGCATATTATGCTCTATTAGTAATTATTGATGTAATTATTCGTATATTACCCCATAAGAGAATAAAATTTTGTTGGCGATTTTTTCCTCCATGACTCAGACACCACGTTAATTTACCTTATCTCTCACCGGTCAGTTCCCGGTCCCAGTCTCAATCGGTTGGTTGGAAACGTACAACTAAAGACGATATCTATAGATAACAATAAATACTCAACAGAAATGCCATAACACTGCACAGTTGTTGCACGTGTTCACAATTCTAGTCAATATTGAGTGTACATTTAAAAGAAATTATGCCAAAGTTTTATTATATTTTGTTTAGGAAACGGTTTAAAATTCTTTTCATTTTAGTGTTAATAGTGTGGTTTTTTTATACATATTACATGAAACTTTATAAAATAACAACAGGGAGGCCCCTGTCATATGTAAAACAAAGAGACACAAAATATATATTACAGTGGACTAGAAGATATAGTGCACCATTCGATATGATGGGAGAAGCGAACTATGCCTTTGTTGAAAATAAATGTAATTACACGAACTGTTACGTAACCAATGACGTCGAATTCTTTGCGAAAGTAACTGATTTTGATGCGATCGCCTTTAATGGACGTGATGTTATACACCTGTGGCCCTTCCAAATGCCTGCAGAAAGATCGCCGAAGCAGAAATACATATTTGGTGCGATGGAATCACCAGATAATTTTCCCGCCTGCTACTGGATGCTAGATGGATTATTCAATTGGACTTGGACTTACAAACTCGACTCAGATTTTCGGTGGGGATATATTACGATTTATGATCTAGATGACAACGTTGTGGGGCCGGCGATAAATATGAAGTGGCCAAAAAAGTTAAAACCTATTAATCAAGATTTGAAGGATAAATTATCCACTAAATCCAAAGCTGCAGCTTGGTTTGTATCGCACTGCCATACTAAAAGTAGGAGAGAGGATTTTGTGACAGAATTACAAAGAGAACTAAATGCGTATGGTTGGACAGTCGATATATATGGATGGTGTGGTTCATACAGTTGTCCAAAATATAATGCTAACTCTTGTTTTCAACTGGTCGAAGAGAAATATTACTTCTATTTGTCTTTGGAGAACTCCTTTTCTGAAGATTACGTGACGGAAAAACTTCTGACAGCGTTGAACAATTACGCTGTGCCTGTTGTTTACGGCGCAGCCAACTACACAAGGTGACTATTCAATAATTTTTTAGGACCATGCCCTATACAGAATATGGACGCATAAATTAATATCCTTGCCTTATATATGTGCAGTGTATCAACTATCGGGTATCCATAACACAAGCATCGTAGCTTATCATGGAACTAGATGGCGCTGTGTGTTAATGTCCCAACATATTTATTTATTTATTTATTTATAAAAAAAATGGGAACCGCTGCCTTAGTCCACTTTAGTGGATGTTGAAATCGACTAAGCCCACTAATATAATTTACGCAAAAATTTGTAATAAGTTTTATATATATACCTTTTGTCACTCGCGCTATGAAAAGAAATCTTACAAAGTATACGTTAAGTATTCAACTGTTTAGTATATGTTTAGATACACAAGTACATACACGCAGTTCAAATACACCCCTGTTTTTGTCGGGTAAAAATATGTGAGTATTAAGCACAGATCACCCCCTGATCTGTTGATATTGAGTAATTAATACCTTCCTTCAGTTCCTTCGTCAACTTGTTGTTTTTTTTTTTAGTTAGCTTTTTTACACATTACGGTTATTTTATTCTTTTTTTTATATTGCCGATGACACAACATTTCCAGCGTAATGGTTACGATAAGTAAATATCTACGATAGTAAGATTAGATAAATATGAAAAAAAAAATTATCTTGATATGTAAATATATCGCCGATAACAATACTCAACCCCAAAAAATTATCAGACTTGGTTCACACCTTTTAATAATGAAGTTGACTAATAATAAATGTATGTAGGCATTTTGTTTTGTCACATCGGAAAGCGGAGTTTCGTTTAAAATGTTTATGTAGGTTCGAACGTTAAAACGTAATTAGTTCGAAAATAAAATTGCATTGCAAATAAAACACAGATTATTCGTTGATTCAATTGTTAATATATACTTAACATGTATTGTCGATATTGATAAAACAGTGTATAAATAAACATATAATTTCAGGACGAGGAAAATAAGAACACAGTAAACCAATGCAATAAGCTTTATATTATCACTTTTTACTTTATAAGTTTTATAATGTCACTTCAATTTTTGTATTTCCATCTAATATAACAATTAAATGTAGTTTTAACGATCACTTTATATCACTACTATTTAACCAATCACAGGAAAACTCTTTATCTTTTTACTTTTTACACATAAGTTCACCACTATTTTGATCAATAAGTTTACCAGCATAAATTCAATATAATTTTAACAACCATTACTTATACTTTCTTAGATTTACGCGAATATTTGACATTTTAAATAAAACTATCTTTTCGGATTTTGTCGCGGATTTATTTGCATTTTTGTTTCCCGACGTTTCGAATGGTTTACAGCAATCATCGTCACGGGAGAGACTGAGTTGTTAGATGTCTCTAAGGTATTATATAGTTGTTACAGACAGTCTACCCACAATTAACAAAAAGAATTCAAAAAATTGAAAAATGGCACTAAAGTACCTTACAATATTTTAACTTTTAACTTTAAATATTTTTATATAATTTTAATTAGCTTTATAATTGAATATAGAATATTATTTATTTAATTTGAGCTGTTATTATTATAATTATTACAATTTTAAAAATATTAATTACTAACCTACATTTTTAGTGTTGCCATTATTATATTTATAACCATAAAAATCATAATATATTAATTATTTAAGCCACAATTGATCTATGTGTAATTCGTCGTCAATATATCCTTAATATTTATTTTCGTTACCAAGGAAGATGAAATCCTATAGCTTGATTCATCTTTGACAGACTCATCTATATTTAATTAGATCGTGTGCTATACATATCACTACATAGTATAAAACAAAGTCGCTTCCCGCTATCTGTCTGCCCCTATGTAAGCTTAGATCTTTAAAATTACGCAACGGATTTTGGTGCATTTTTTTTAATAAATAGAGTGATTCAAGAGGAAGGTTTTTATGTATAATACATGCATATTATAGTACAGAAAAGCCGAGAAATTCAAAGATTTGTATTTCATAGTAACCGTTAAAACGTACGATACGAGGTTTTTGGTGCATATCATATGGTGTTATAGAATGTTTTCATTTGATCACACACCTATCGATGTCAGTACGCTAGCTTAGAAAACCAAGTGTAAAGGATTTACACTCAGTTCACTAACCTCTATGATTTTCATGTGCAAATGATTTCCAACATGATTAGCACTTTCTAGAACGGAGAAAGAAACCATTGTGAGAAAACTTCATCTAGGTACTGTTTTATCCTTTTAGATGCATCTGTCCGAGTGCATAGATATGCAAATACAAAATACTAATACAAAAGGGATGTGGTAGAATATGTCCCAATTTGCTTGCTTGTTAAACGCAGCTAGTCATGTTTGACTCAATTTGGTTAGAACTAATTAATCATATTGGTGTCGCTGGCGACTCATGGTATATGTATATCCATTTAGTCTCCAATCTCTAAACATTGTACAACATGTTTTGTAAGGCAGCGTACAGAACTAGAACCAGTCTATGTATTCGAGCGCTTGCAAGTTAATGTTTTAGACTTAAATCTTCTATAGTATATGGGTACGTAATTACTCTAAATCCTCCAATATTCTTTAAAACTCCTCCAATACATTTTTTTTTTAAATTACAGTTTTCACAACATTGCAATATTATTAAATTACTTACATATAAAGATCAATTTAAATGACATTTTTAACCCTCGACGCAAAAATGACGGGATGTTATAAAGACGTGTCTGTGTGTGTCTGTCTGTGGCATCTTTGTGTTGAGTGTTCTTAGCTATGTTTGATGAAAATCTGTCCAAGATTGTCGGTTTTTTTATATATATATATTACTTGTCTATAATGTGGACATGATCGTTTTAGTAGAAATCCGGAACAAATAAACATTTAAAATTTATAAAAACATTAAATACCGTTAAAAAGGACTTGGAATCCTTTCAATTTACAGTAAGTGGATTTTGCTCTCGAATATTTCTAATCCATTTTTCAGTTACGAATTTTCTTTGTTTCAGTTACGAATACTTTCCCAGATTCAATTTAAAATACCTATTTAATTTATATTTTTTCCACAATAAAATGCGCAACTTGTTCGATATCTTTGGGAAAACTCATCATCGGGTTTCTGCCTACAGGGGACTGTGAGACTTGTTTTGTCTATATTTTAGTATTGTATTAGTACTAAACACCCTATATTAACTAACTATATTGTTCACACCCTTTCCCTCTTACATTTTGCCAATTGTTTTGCCAACACCTTAAGATTACCTGGAAGAGATACCTATAATAAGATTGCCTGGAAGAGGTACGTTTTAGCGATAAGGTCGCCTCTTATACAAAGTACTATTTCTATTTTTCTTGTTCTAATTTTTCTCACTTTTTGTGGGTATACAATAAGGAGTATTTATTATTATTATTAAACGCCCCTTAAATTCTAAAAAGTCCCTAACCGGGAATCGATTCAGAGTGTCCTGGGAGAAAGAAATATGGGAGATGAAACAATGAGGTGGCTGTCCAAAAGCAAAATTTCAATTATGTTATGAAATATCAATTCAAAAACAACCGTTAAAAACTATCTTTCTAATTTACAATATATCATTTAGATATAAACAATAAGCATTCATTTTAATGTATTCATATCTATCTTATATAAATAAATATAAATATATATGTTGGGACATTAATACAGAGCACCAACTAGTTCCATGGTAAGCTACGAACGAGGCTTGTGTTATGGATACCAGATAGTTCATACACCTTTACCAAACTTTAAATACATACATAATATTATAAATATAAACACCCATGACTGAAGTACAGACATTCGTGCTCACCACACAAATGTCTCCGCGGGACTCGAACCCACGATCGCTATCACAGCAAGTAGGGTCAATACAAACTGAACCAAACATGTCGTCAAATAATAATATAGATTTGCTTTGTATCGCTTTAACTTGCATAGACTCGATAAATATCTCATTAAATATTTATTATAATTGAATGGGTTTCGGTTATTTATTTAATTTTACTTTTAGCGCATTTTTTATTGTTTCATAATTTATTATCATAAAATAAAACATTAAAGGCTCCGATAATAATCAAATTTACGGTCACTATTGTTGATATTTGTATACTTGTCAAAAATAAAAAATGTACGGTGGTCCCATATTTAAATAAAAACTAAAAATACTCTTAAAGGTTTTTGAAGACACTCTGCCTTTCTTAGTTAAAAGTAATTGTTATATTTTACAGATTTTTACCACCAGGAAGCTATCTAGACGGAAGGGAGTTGGGACCAAAGAAGCTAGCACAACAAATGAGCGAAATAATTAGCAACAAGAGTTTGTACTACGACTTCTTCCGTTGGAGAAACCATTATAAATATAAGGAAACTTCATCCACAGAAGATATTTGTAAATTGTGTGAAATGATGAATAATGAAGAGAAGATGGCGGAAGTGACTGTATGGAATGACTTTAGGAAATGGTGGAATGGCGCTAGATATAAAGAGAATTGTTAAAAAAACTGTATAAAAACTGTCCAAAAATTGTATAAAAAACTTGTGTGTGTACTTATGTACGCACGTAAGAAGTTGTACTTCTTTGGCGTAACAGAACAAAAATAGCTAAAGATTTCATCCCGTATGTCACAACTCTCTGTTTGTAAAAGGAATGAAGCTAACTTCATCATGTCGCTTTTTGGCTGTCGGTGTGCGCGCGCATCGCAAAAATTTTACTCTCATAATTTTTTGCAAACGTGCCACAAAAAGTTTAAGTTCAATAATAATAAAATGACATGTTAAATGAGGGACAGTAATCGGTCCCCGAGATGGACCCGAGCTTTTGTACACATTGGTGACAGAACTATCCAGACAATAAAGTCTTCAATGTGATAAAAGGATAGGTCACATCATATATTAAAATAATTTAGAAAATATTGTTATATAACCATGCGGATTGCTCCTGGGACTTCTCTGATAGCAAAGTGGCATTGGGGCGTAGTGGTAGATACGTAACATATTAAGAGGTACTTACATGAGTCGTTTAATTTAAATATACATAGCAAACGTAAAATATTCAGTTGTTTTTTTAATTTACATTAATTAATCTTTTTTTTTATTTTCGTGCAAAGGACCCTTACAATTAAAATACTATAAATAGAATGTATAGTAGCTAATAGGTTTGATTCCCGCTCGGGATAAAAAATTATTTTACTCTATACCCACCTTTTCCTAGTTTTTAGTATTATATTTTAATATTATATACATAAGAATAAGTTACTTGTACAAATATAATCAAGAATTATATATTATGTTTAAATCTTTATATCTAATACAATTGTTTATCCTGTATTGATAGTTCGCTTGCGTTTTCATCCACGTATTCCATATAATTTACTTATGATTATTATTCGCAATGTTACGTCACACTTAATAGTCTATGTCTAGAAAACGACGAATAATATTTTCCTACACCTATTGAAAAATAACTGTTAGTATTTATATGTATGTATGTATGTAAAAATATATATTTATATGTATGTAAAAATGTACAAAAATGTCCACAATGTATCGTACTATTATCATACTGTATCATAATATCATAATCATTTGATTTTATTCTTTACATAAATTATAATTATTCATTAAATTACTCAATGTAACCAACGGATAATTATGATTGCTCCTAGTGTTAATAATGAGTAGATTTCTTCAAAAAAGCATTTTAAATCTTTATTTGTATAAATTGCGAAACACTAAATATATAATACCCATAAATATACTTTTTACGAAAAGGGTACAATGAATTTATAATTACTTATTCCAATTCATATTTAATATTTTTTTAATTATTTCTGAAATCTCCCAAAAACGCTAAACAAGTTGATAGAAAAATTACTTACATTTTGGACTCAATTTTACATATAATAAAGTATGGCTAAACAGATCTGATGATCTTAAAAACTTTTTAAATTTCATTAATTATTTAATCATTCATTATTTCATTCATTATTTCATTCATTAGGAGTGTTAAATAAAAAAAGCGAACGAAGCCAAAGCTTGATATTGTTATTTTATAATTTATACTGGCATTCGTAAAACATGAAAATATACACCCGACTTCATTGTGTAAATGAATACACAGTGTAATTATCGTCAGAATAATATTTTCTTTAAATAAATAACGCACGTGTAAAACATTTGCGCCTGGCAAATTATCGACAAAAGAGATTTTATTTAAAATAATATTATACTACGAGATATGATTTTTTCATAAATTTTATTTGCTTCATCAATTTGTTTTCCAATACTAGCGACTCACCCTCGCTTCACTCGGGTTCGTCCCTAGGTACGTTTTAACAGTTAGTAAGGTATAGATAGACTATATATTTATACTAGCAGTATCCGCGGCTTCGACCGCGTCCAAACTTCCGATCGCTAACAAAATTCACAGGATCACCCGCTGGTGCCTTCTGTGGGCGGTTACCATGCGGATTGCTCCTGGGACTTCTCTGATAGCAAAGTGGAATGTGAGACCAACCCCTTGGTTGTTATGGTCTGCCTCGACAGGTATTGAGGCGTAGTGGTTACTGAGTAGTACTAGCTTTCTAGCGGTGAGTCTCCACATAACATCCTGTATGCATGCAGTATGCAGGTGGTATACTTTAATACATTTCAAACGTTAAAACATAGTTATTTATAAAACTAAATAAATAAAAACATTATTTTAAAGAAAGGAGAAGAAGATTAGAAGGAAAGATAAATAATTATATGTATATATAATAACATAAACATTCTAATAATCTAGGCGCCGAAGATATATTTCCATCATTCCGCTATTTTTTTTCTAAAATGACAAAGTTATTAGCCAGCTGTAGCAATATCCCGTTACGGTTAGGTGAGGCTCAATTTTAGGCTTCAGTAGCCTAAAGCCTTATAATTTCACCATGTCTATCGTCCGCCTGTCAGTTAAAATGTTACAGCCATTTTACTCAAAGAGTATTGAAGCTAAATTGTTGAAATTTAGAACATAGGTGGTTCATTTAAATCTCTGGACAATTCCGTAGTACCATTTAACAAAAATAAAAAAAGGGATTCATGTCAATAGTTCCGTAGTAATATGGATCAAAAGTCGTTAACATTGTAACTAAAAAATAGACACGCCTAAGTACATATGTATATAGGCGCATGATTAATACATAAGCAATACACATGCTTACATAGTATCAAAGCCATTACCCTCCTTCGGAAACAGTCGGATAAGTAGCAAATTAATCGTTATGCTATCAATAAAGGTCACCAATAAAGTTATATTAAGACAGTTGCAAACAAATCATATCTAAGTTTTTCCGTAGGCAGTTCTTATTTGCTCTCAGAACTTGGCCTACGTCAATGATCTCATAAATAGAAAATTTATTTTGACATGATTTTATGGATCATAGATGAATCAAGATAATATTATTTGATATATTTATAGCTTCGAAATTCTTCTTATATGAAAGAGTATACATAAGAATTCTGAGATAGGTATTTTGAGGATTTTTACTTATACGTTTTATTACCAGGCAATGAATAGAAATATTATAGATAGAAGATTATTGAACTGATAATATTCTAAAACGTTATCAGTGTTTACTCTATCACATGTTTTGCAAAAATTCAGGCAGACAGACTGGCTGTATGAAGTTGTAATTGTGAAATTAAGAGAAACCGTTTAAATAAAATTTTGACTGTCTTGGATTGGTTAATATAGTGTAATTGAGGGTTTTAGTATTGTGCAAGAAAAAATGATAAGAGGATAGACACAAAGTAGGCTTAAGTGAAGCATTACTAATATTTTCTTGTAATTATAATAAAAGGTGGTAGCCCAGTGGTAACGCGCTCGCTTGCGAAACCGAGTGAAGCGGGTACAAATCCGGGGTCTCGCACCTCTGGTGTTTTCATATGCGAATCATTTCTTACTTGATTACCACTCGCCTTACGGTGAAGGAAAACATCGTGAGGTAACCCGCATGTCTGAGAAAACCTAACAAGTTTTCGAAATACATAATACATGTGAAGTCCGCCAACCTGCACTTGGTCAGCGTGGTGGACTATGGTCTGATCCCCCTCGTAGTGAAGGGAGGCCCGTGCCCAGCAGTGGGACGTTAGAAAGGGCTGAATACATACATATATAATTATAATAAACAAAACAAATAGAATCCGACAAAATTCGAATAGTTGATAACGTGTATAGTATTTATTATTGTGATTTAAAACGGGATATTTACCATGTTTTTCATTTACCTTATGAGTATCCGATATTTCGGCACTGTTACAAGTGAAATGGTAACGCTATACGTGTATACACAATTATATAAATACAATTAAATACATACAAATATATAAATTGTACCATGTATATAATATTCTAGGAAGAGAATTAATTAAAAAATCTTTCACATATGGGTTAATAACGAGGGAGATCAACTTTTAACATTGAAAATTTTTCTTGTCGCTTCGGTATAGGCCCGAATTTCAGCGAAAGTGCGACAGCTAATTGGGATGTTAAAAGATGCGTATGAATGAGGGCTACAAAATGCAAAAAAAATTTCATCCAAATCGGTCCAGTCCTTTGGGAGGAGTAGGTTAACAAACGCACTCACAGAAGAATTATATATTATTATATTAAGATCATCATATGTATAGATTACACAGACGCATTTTTGAAAAAAAAAACGAAAAAAATGGCATCCGCAAGTTTTTAATTTGACGCCTATTATTTATATAATGTCGCGGTAAACATTCCAAATTTTCAATTTGACGAGTCGTGAAAAAATAATAAAAGTTAGAATTCACGTAAAATATACGATCGCAAAGCTTTTGTATTTTTTTTTTGCCGTAGAAAATCTATTTATGTTATTATTTTTTCGAATTTATTGATATTTTATTAATTTTTGATCTTAGGATAAGACAAGAATATAGATTACATACTAAGAAAGGACGGTTACCATTTAACCCTACCACTTACCCTGCAAGCAGAACCACGGACTAAAACTATTTTAAAATAAATGTATCCGAAGACCGTAGAAACAGTCTTCGGTCAAAGGCCATTTAGGAGTTATTTACACCTAAACATCCCTCAACAGTAAAACTTAATTTTCCTTAGCTATTTTCCCAAACAGTTGCTTTTCTGCGCGAATAAACAGATAAAGCTCGTATGTAATTTTCAATAAAGTACACTAATGAATGCCAGTAATGACATTGACATGAGAATACGAGTATATTGGAAATTCTTGTTCATTACAAAAGTAATTATCTTACAAGTCTGTATTGATCTATTTATTACTATCAAAACTTAATATACGTTACATGTTTATTTGAGTTAGTTCTCCCAGTGGTCGAGGTTCGACCATAAGCATTATTGAAAACTAGCAACTCACCCTCGCTTCGCTCGGGTTCGTCCCTACTTATGTTTTGAAATTTAGTATAGATTTCTGAGAGATGACATATTTTCTTGCAGTAAAAAGTATCCTACATGTTGAACCGGATAACCAGCTATCATCATAACAAATTTCATCAAAATCCCTCCAGTGGTTTTTCCGTAATGCGGTAACAGACAGACAGACAGACAGACAGACAAAAATTCTAAAAACTATAGATTCGGCCTCTGTATCGATAATAATGTCTATTTCAATAAGATTTTCCAAAAAATATTTAATGTACAGATTCCACTCAGAATTTTATTATATGTATAGATATTTTACGAAAACATATTATATGAAAAGAATTTACCTATCTACATAATCTGTTTCCAAAGTTTTTTGTAGTGATAATACTAAAGCTATATAAAAATCGGACAAGTGCGAGTCTGACTTGCACACCAAGGGTTAAGTGGTATGAAACATTAAAATTAATTTATAATGGTTTTTTTTGTGATTTAACAACAAATTTACAGTTTTCCGATTTTTCTCTTTACTTGTACTATAAGACATTGCTTCTTGCTAAATTTTATGATTCTAGGTCAATAGGAAGCTCTACCCTACAGATTTTGATTCCCTTGCGAGTGTCAAAATATACAGCATAAGCGACCGTAACTTTTCATTGCGTTAACTTAGAAGTTTGATTTTTTCATACCTACTAGGGATTGCAAACATGAGTATTTGATATTAATTTTAACTTGATTCTCTTGGGTTTTAGTGGGTAGTACTGGCTTTTCTAGCCGGTGAGTCCCACATAATCTGTATGTATGTAGGTGGAATGCGTAAATGAATTTCCCAGCATTAAAAAAAAGTGCTAGAATGTAAGCTATAGTTTTCGTGTTCAAATTATCAGTAGGTTTTATTCAAGAAATTCTCAATAGTCCTAAAATAGGTGCAAACGACGAAATATTTTATTTTAAATTAATGTTTTTTTTTGTATTTTATTTCGCCGGTATCAATGTATATATAATTAATGCCCACCCACGCAAATCGAATCTTCTACTCTTACGTTTACCTTCAGGCCATAACTAAAATATAATAAGCAGAAAAACAAAATATACGCATATTTCCACCTACACTACAATTAATTTTGGACATTTGACTTTTGCAAAATAAACATGAAATCTCTTAGACAATTAATACTCCGGCCATAAATCCTTGGCAATTATGACGCGTCATATAAATCTGCGCCTCTCACAGTTCGTAACAAATGTAATACCTTAGACTAACTATCCATTAAAAATATCGTTTATTTAAGCTTATTTTCCTACAAAAAAAATATAAAAAATTAAAAAATGTGACCTTTAGAGGTCACATGCGGAGCATCAATCTTCATACTACAGATAATTACTAATACAAAAGTCTAAACAATGAAAGATACGTTGTGTATGTATATAGCCAATAAGTAAGATTTTTTACTACATATATCTTACTAATATAAAATTATAAGTGTGAAAGTTTAGATGTTTGTATGTTTGGAATATTTTGATGGATGTTTGTTACTCAATCACTTAAATTAATGAAATTTGGCACAAAGATAGATTATAGTCTGGAATAGTACATAGGTACTACTCCAGACTATAATCTCTTTTTATCCCGAAAAAATGTACGGCTCCCGTGGGATAGATTTATTTTTGTTTTTCTAGAGGATGAATTCGAACAAAGCGAGGGTGAGCCGCTTGTTACTTAAAATGAGATAACTTTGAAATTAAAAGTAGAATTTCTTTTTAGAAAATAATTTGATAAAACTACTAGTAGAGGCTAGTTTTAATCGAGCCACAATTCTGACGAGGGTTTACAGATTTATTAGTCTGAACGCCGAGAGCAATGTTAGTTGATATTCAAAGATAAAAGCAAATATCTATTAAATTGTCCGAAAATTACCCACTACAAGATGACAGCCGACGGAATTTAAGGAATTCGTACTGTTAGTAAGTTTAAATTGGTATTTAATTCAATAATTTGTAATCTAAAATAGTTTTTTTTGGTAATAATAATAATAAATATGTTGGGACATTAACACACAACACCATCTAGTTCCATATAGCTTTAAATACATACATATTATAAATATAAACACCCATGACTGAAGTACAAACATTCATGCTCATCACACAAATGAATGCACCCAGCGGACTCGAACCCGCGATCGCTGGCACAGAAAGTAGGGTCACTACAAACTGAGCCAAACGTGTCGTCAATACGTGTGGTAAATAGCTTTGAAGAGACACATTTCGTGCCAAACTTATAACACTCACTACAACAATAGATTTTGATTTTTAATGGGATTTGATCTCACAAGCTTCCCTTGCAGGATCCGTCCAGGAAACTAAACTAACTTTCATCAAGTTCCTTAACTTTATGAAGTAAAATTATAAATTATCTAAAAAGATCTTGCTTTTAAATACCGTTCGCCTACAGCATAAAAGGAGCTTGCCAACTTTCGTGCGAAACGTTGCACGATTTAAAGTTGTATAAATTTATTTCTATCTATTATAAATTTTAAATAATACTTATTAAATGAATAAATTGTTATAAATGTTCAAATCCTAAGTTCAAATTTATCTTGTTAAAAAAGAGTTAAAAGTACTATTTAAAATTTAGTAGTTCAGAATATTTTGGCAAAAAATTTTTTTGCAATTTTCTTCTTTATTATCTAATATATAAAATTTCCATGTCACAATGTTAGTTACCGTACTCCTCCGAAACGGCTTTACCGATTTTTACCAAATTTTATATGCGTATTCAGTAGGTCTGAGAATCGGCTACTATCTATTTTACATACCCCTAAGTGATAAGGATAAGGGTGGTCCTCCCAGACCCCACCCCAGGGACGAACCCGAGCTGAGCGAGGGTGAGTCGCTAGTTTATATATATTTTTAAGTTTTAATTCATAACTATAACAACTGTTGAGTGTTGACATCATACTTACAAAGTAAAATTGTTTCAGCAATTATTGTTGACAAAACAATAAAAACCACTCAAATACACTAACGCTAAAAGTTTAAACAACTTTAAGGACCTAATGAAAACAGAGAGAAAATATAAATAAACACACAAAAAAAACACATTTATATACAAGTAAATATTTTATTTACAAGGTATTATTGGAATATTATTATCGCTGTATAAATTTAACATATATCTTGTCGTCAGTCCTCAACACTACGTCCGCTTTAAGTGAAGGCCGAAACCCTTTTACAACGGGCTCGAGTTTAAAATTTAGAATGATTTCAGTTAACATAGATTTCATTTCCAATTTGGCGAACCTTTGACCTGTAAATAAAATACATATATTGTGTTAGAGGCAACTTCGATAATAATCGTCGTAATAAGTACAGTCCAGCATTTAAAATAAAATTTAAAAAACCCCCTACGCAAATTAATTGTCATTAAACGATTACACTGACACGCGTGAAGCACTTAATCGAGTAATCATACGCTAAAATGCCTTACATCATTTTGGAAAAGAGGAAGGAAACTGAGTTTCAAATGAAAAAAAACCGGATCGAAATCGGTCTATCCGTTTGAGAGTTACGATGCCACAGACAGACACACACACACAGAGACAGACAGACATCGACGTCAATCTTATAACACCCCTCTTTTTGCGTCGGGGGTTAAAAACAATCTTTTGGGATTTTATCGCGGTTACGGAAGAGACTGACCATCATTGCTGTAAAGCATTCGAAACGCACTCACGTACAAACACACATAATATAGTGTAATAATAGTGTTATTCGTATAGATCTAACAATACAAACCTATACAATTCCTAGGTCCGGCACTGAAAGGTACGTAGGAATAGGGATGTCGCGCCTCTCCTTCGAGGAACCTTTCCGGTTTGAAACACTCCGGATCTGGAAACAAATCCTCCCTGCGTTGGACGTCGTATATGTGGACTACCACTTCAGTGCCTTTCTTCACTTTGATGTCATCTGTTAACAATATTTGACTGTTAGTGTTGGTGTAACTTCTAACCGACTTTAATAAATAAGCGGCCCGAAGGATCTTGATCGTACAATAAATAACGGATGTTCCCAATAACTTATCTTAGGTTTCACTTACAAGCGATAGAAATTTGACATGAATTGCATAATGAATATATCAATTTTCTATATGCAGTAAGAAAAACTTCAGATAGGTACAATTTAGGATGGCCCAAAAAACGAATATTTTTTTTCGAGTCTCATAGGAAAATATGTTAGTTTATCATATTTTAAGAGCCCCCTCCAAAGCGCAGCTCAAAATAAAAATTCTAAGAGGGCGCTTAACATTTCTAAAAATTTCCAAAATCATAGAGCGACTTCTGAACATGAATATAAACGAATTTTTCTTCAAATTGACATACTAAAGAATAGAACTAAGGCTACAGAGATGCAAAAAAAATTCGAGACGATTTTGAACATGAATATTATTCGAATATGGATATATCCCGAAGTCGCTCAAAAAGGTCAAAAGTAGTCTGGAAAAACTAGAAACTTAAAAAAATCTTGAGGGATCTTTAAATATTAAAATATCGAGTGATAATTTCAGAATCCTAATCATTTTTATAGTCGAAAATAGTGAAATAACGAGAAAAAAATCGATTTTCATATTTTCGTATGAAAGTAGAAAAAAAAATTTGTTTTTTTTTTTTGGGTGACCCTGGGGTACATGGACTGTTGAGAACCGGCGTTATAACGACGTCTCGACTCTTTAAGTACACAACCTTGAAAAGGCACTAGTTGAACTATGGAGAACCAATTTGCTCGTAAATACACCTCTATTTCTATGAAGACGTATATTTGTTTTATAATGTCTTGGATATAATAATACAAGAATTTACGTAAAAAAAATACTTTACAAGTCATTTACTTAGAATCTAGTGATATTGAAGTACAGAAAGTGGAAACAATTAATCTCAGGTGCACGAATAAGTATGCTTAGACTCAAATTGAGTACGATTTTCCTAACTTATGTCTAGAGTCTAGACGATTTTTTTATATTAAAATAACGTGATCACTCGTTAAAAAGTTATAAAAGCGAGCTCCAATGGTTATTAGAGCTATTATAATTATTCCAATTCGTTAGTCGAAGTGTAATTTTTTTTTTTATTGATGTGAATGAAACGTATTTGAATCAAAAAGTCAGTTGTAGCCCAGCGGTAACGCGCTTACTTGGGAAACCGAGTAAAATCGATTCAAATTCCGGGTCTCGCATCTTTTATATTTCAGTGTGCGAATAGTTTCCAACATGATTACCACTTGTCTTACAGCGAAGAAAAACATCGTGAGGAACTCTGCGTGTCCGAGAAAACCTAGCAAGTTTTCGAAAAACATGCTCTTTGCTCAGTCCGCCCGCACTTGGCCACCGTGGTCGACTACGGGTTGTATGGGTTTGAGTGTTTGGTATGACTTGTCTAAGCCTCGAGAATATCATATCTAAAATTTATATACGATTTGCCAACATTCAAAAGTGGCATATTAAAAAAATATAGCCTATATAAAATACTACAAAATAAATCGATAGAGTTATATCAAACAAACTTTAGATTTCTAGTAACTCAGTTCGAAAGTATTCTATATGTCAATATTTCATTTTTTATATAAAATAAATACAAACAATAGCGGGCATATACCTATGTATTTGATAAAGTCGATTGATGGCCGTGGAACAATAAATAGCTTATGAATAGAGATATATTTTATTTCATTCACGTATCACTTCATATTAAAGTAACTTTTAAAAAACAACCATAATGACGGTGAATTGGACGTAGGTTCGATTCTCGCATGAACTGAGTATTTGTTTATTTTTGCTAGACATTCGGTCGTCTGGTGCATCTTTAGGTACTTTATGGGGCTTAATACAAAAAGAAACTAGCTTATAAATGATTCTAAGTCTATGTACTTAACCAAATCTGTTCAGTCATTCAGTGTGAAGCAGTAACAAACATACCTACACAAGTACATATAAACTTTTGCATTTATAATATATAGTATATTAAAATTATACAGTCTGTTACAATGCTTATGCCGCTGTGCGCTCTACAGGATATACTCTACAATAATGCTCCCCACAAGTACACTTCTCTTGATAATTAATTAATTATTAACGAACCAATTTCGGTCAATTGGCCAATTTCACTGAGACAAGCCATTTGCGAGGGAGATATTATACTTAGTGCACAAGTGTACGCGGGCACAACGTGCACTCTCTATTCCTGTAACTCTCAAATCCCGGTGGGACGTCAATTCGACACGGCTGGTGAAAGATCAAGGCTGATGATGCTTCATGTGCTCTCTTAGGCACAAGGGTCAAAAACTGCCAACTTCCCAACTCTGGGTAGTTACTGATAATTTCTTTACATAAAAACCCAATGACTAAATTTGTTCCGACCCGGGACTCGAACTTAAGATCACTAGGACTAGACCTACGAGGCAGTAAAGCAAGGTAGCATCGAAGTATTCAAATACAATAAATACTCACCTAACATAAAATCTTCAACAATTTCCCTACCAATGAAAGGCACGGACGGGTAGATTCTTAGTATTTCTTTGACCACAGCATCCAGATATTTCATCTCACCGAGATCGAAAGCACTCGGAAATCGGTCTGCATCACCTAGCACTTCCTTACATTCTTTGTAGATACGGTCCTGTTTAGGAATCAAAAAAATCTGTTTAGATTTTTAGAGATTAAGTACTATAATTTACAATATGAGACAGTAGAAAGACATCGCATATGCTGGCAATTGCGAATTTAATTACTTTACAAATAATGTAATCTATACATATAATAAAATTGTAATCAAGCCGAATCTGTACATGAAATATTTTTTGGAAAATCTTATTGAAATAAACATTATTATCGATACAGAGGCCGAATGTATGGTTTTTAGAAATTTTGTCTGTCTGTCTGTCTGTCTGTTACCGCATCACAGAAAAACTACTGGAGGGATTTTGATGAAATTTGGTATGGTGATAGCTGGTTATCCGGTCAACATATAGGATACTGTTTACCGAGGGAAAATGTCTCATTTCTGAGAAAAAATACAAAAACTGCAATGTAAGAAAGAGTATACTAATATGTAATAGTAAGTATAAAGTAAAGTAAAGTATTTTAGTTACAATTTTATTATATGTATAGAAGAAGTACAAAACATTGGCGAACTAGATTCACATACTAAATAGAAAATCGACTAATAAATATATTTTCATTTGATATGTACAATGTTGTTTCAAAAGATCAAAGCTTAATATATCAAAAGGAGTTATTTGGTTCATTTTCTCTGGAAAATTAATGAGAAACATTAAACTACACAAGGTGCATTTGTACAAACGAAAATGGGGGCTTTGGAGTGTACATACGCGTTTCGCCCACGCGAAATTTATTCGGACAAACAGATCGTTTGGTAGTTGTTCGGGATGAAAATCCTTTGTTATACAAATCACAATTTCGTCACTAGCATAAGCCTTGAAAGTAAAGAAAAAATAATGTAAAAAATATCCCGCTTTCTGGTTTTAGTAACTATAAACTAGATGTCTTTTTAATTGTAAGAATCATAATTATAGCAACTTAAATTAAATATTATGAAACTAGCGGCTTACACTCGCTTCGCTCGAGTGCGTTCCTAGGTACCTTTTAGTTTTTTTGAACGGAACCCTAATTCTTTTTTTTAAATAAAAGTAGCCTAAGTTACTCCTTATAACATCAGCTATCAGCCAGTGAAAATCTTGTCAAAATCAGTCCAGCCGTTTCGCAAATTACCACACCCTAATTAGAATCATTAATAAATATTTAAAACCAAAATTAACATTAAGTACTTATGTATTCAATAAACATGATACAATATCAATAAACATAATATACAATCCTTTCCGCATTTCGTAGAAATACTCTAAAAAAACGTAGCTCATTTTATCCTTAGAAAATAACGTGTTTAAAGGAAGGAAATTTTCTTAAGAAAATAAATATTTAAGTACGTATGTTGAGCATACACAGATATAAGTATACAAAACTTAACATTTTTATGTCTTACAACCTTTTCGTAAAGTGATCACGTAATCTTTTTTACAGTTTAAACTTTGAGATTCTTTGAAAACAGCAAAACCGTAGTCAAAAAGTGAAGTACCTATACAATTAGAAATCGGAAATCCCAATATACTTAATTTGAAATCATTTTTAGAGAAGATAAGTCAATAGAGAAAAAGATAATATATTTTTTGAAAGGTTCCTTCCTATATTGCTTTAAGTTAATATAAAAGAAATTTCAATAATAATTTGTCAAAATAAATAACATCTCTGTATGAAAATAAATAGATTTAATAAGGTATTGACTGAGTTATTTTCTATAACAAATAATAATGTAAAGCTTTTATTGCTTTATATATATTTACTAGCGACAAACCCTCGCTCCGCTCGGGTTCGTTCCTACTAACGTTTTAACGTTTAGTGTAGATTTCTCAGAGATGAGATATTTTCCCGCAGTAAAAAGTATTCTATATATTGACCCAAATAACCAGCTATCATCGTACCAAATTTCATCAAAATCCCTCCAGTGGTTTTTTCGTGATGCGATTACAGACAAACAGACAAAACTTCTAAAAACTATACATTCGGTCTCTGTATTGATAATAATGACTATTTTAATAAGATTTTCCAATAAAATATTTAATGTACGAATTCGGCTTAGTTGCAATTTTATTATATGTATACATTTGGTACATAAAGGAATTGTTATTATTAGAAACTATTTCGTATTAAAAATAATAATATATTTGTTAAAAAATGGTGTCATTTTAAGCAGTCTCGTAGTGACGAATCGGATGTAAATAGGCAAAAAAAGACAACAAAAACAATTCAACGATAAAAGACATTACATATTATATATATAAAAAGACATTATATAAATATGTATATAAATATAAACATACATAATATAATGGTAATTGCGTAATAACAATGAATAAAAATATAAATTGTTATTTATTTATGAAGCTAAAATTGTAGTCATAACAAAGTCCTTTATCCTTGCATAATTGGCCTGATCTATTACTCGATAAGTATTTTTAATATATGATACTAATTAGTATTGTGAAAATATAATATAGAATAATAATAAAATATTATTATTTATCTCTTCTACCTTTCTTGTGTTTTGATAAGAATTACGTTTGCAGCAGTCAGGAGGTCGAAAAAAAAACCGAATAATTAATAATTATTTATTAATTTTACATTAATACAATAATTATATATCTTAAAACTAACGACGTCTTTACTCGAAGTATGAATAAAGAGTGATTGGAAAAGTATTACAATTAATAAAATTACTAAATTAAAACAATGCGGCATTACAAAACTAATTCGGGGAACTCGGCGGTGGTCGCCTGGGAAACGTACATTTATTTGATATGTCAGCATATTCGTGGGATTAGGGTTCCGTAACTCCTCCACCCCTAGAGAGGCAACTATTTGAGAATGTTGAGTGAAAAAGTTGCCGGGATACTTGTGTCCTTAAGATTCTCTGGGTTATCTCCATTTTCTAAAATTTCTTCCTTTTTTGCAGTAGTTTTCTTATACTTTCTATAGTGTAATAAAATGATAAGTGCACCTGCACTGAATAATATTGCGTATACTGGTATGGTTGTATGATATACTGTAATATCCTTTTCGCGTTCAATTTGTAGCGGTGATTGTATCATAATTTTGTCCTTGAGTCTATGGAGTCCTTGGATATTTATAGATGATATATTAATAGTTGTATCTAGGTGCGCAATTTCATCGGGTATCTTCATCAATTTTAAGGGCTGTCCTCTTACTTCGTTGTTGTCATTAATTAACGTAAATTCTTCGGATATGATTTTGCATCCCAGGGGAATAGTTATTAGGTAGCTGCCTTTTAATGAAGTGAATTCCTGTTTACCGCATGATATTTGTATCTTTTGATGCTGGGGGAACGATATAAGGTAGTGCATATCGTCTTGTTTCTCCATTGATTCTCGTAGAAGATTGACTGTAGTTAAGTGACAAGATTCCTTCAAAATCTGTTTAACAATTAGCTCGTGGATACAATCTGAATTTGTACGAATCTGATGATTGAGTTCCATTTCACAGAGATACCAGCTGCTATGTCTCGGGCATTCAGCCTCTATGTACACGAGTGAATTCTCGTTAGTTGCAATGAAAGGAGAGGATGGGATTAGAGCCTGCGATTTTTTATTAGGTACTACTGCTAATCTATATAATAAAAAATTATCCTTAGAAATAATAGGAAATCGGAATATAAAAACTATTTGCTTATTAGCATAATAAGAAGCTGGTTGGATTATATTATAATATTCTCTTAATTCTAAATTTAAAATACACTCTTTTCCGTAGATATTCAAGAGCTTTTTCTATTGTTAGTGGTCCGATACAACGAATGCGGGACCCTAATGGTTCCTTAAGACCACGAAAATAGGCCTGCATAGTTACTTTTTTATACAGATTGCGTTTTGCTTCGATAGTGGTGGATGATGTCTCATGCAGCGTAACGTACGTCATTAACGTGCTAAGCAAATTTTGACAATGGTCATAGAATTCTTGAGGGCTTCTATTACCCTGTGTGGCTAAGGAGAGATCATTGTATAGGGCGGTTTCATCCCTTTGATCGGAAAAGTTATTAATTAAAAGTGTTTTAATTCCTAGCCAACTGTCGGGTATTCCGTTTGAATTAATTTTGCTTGCTGCTGTTCCTGTTATTTTATTTAAAATTCCATTTAATAGGCAAATGTTAGAAAATTCACTACCTGGTAAGTCGCTTAGATATTGGATCGCTAAATGGTCACAAATTTTGATAAATCTAGTTAAAACATTTGGGTTCCCGTCGAATTCCGGGACAAGGCGGAGGTCCTTAAATATGATATCCGGATCGTGAGACATATTAACTAAATTAATTAAATTAGAAGGACTACAATCTAAATTTGAATTTATAATTTCTTCCGAATTAATATTTCTTATGCTATCTATACCTAACCGACGGGCCTGCCTAGATTGAGGCTCTCGGATCCTAGATGCTTTAGGATGGAAAATTTTGGTAGCTTATGGATAGGCTTAGGTCTAGAAAGGAGCAACACGAGAACAATTCTTATGTACTCACATAAACTGCATTATCTGGTCTCTTTTCAGTTGAATCGATTGTTGGATTCCACTCCCGGCTGCCACAGGTCCGTAGATTCTGGATTCTCGAACGGTGCTTGGTAGTCACCCGGGCGGCACGCGACGTGATAATTATCGAGTAATTAATTTAGACCGATCGCGAACCGGCCCGCGAAAATCCTACCGACTGCGCCAATTACGTTTGCAGCAGTCAGGAGGTCGAAAAAAAACCGAATAATTAATAATTATTTATTAATTTTACATTAATACAATAATTATATATCTTAAAACTAACGACGTCTTTACTCGAAGTATGAATAAAGAGTGATTGGAAAAGTATTACAATTAATAAAATTACTAAATTAAAACAATGCGGCATTACAAAACTAATTCGGGGAACTCGGCGGTGGTCGCCTGGGAAACGTACATTTATTTGATATGTCAGCATATTCGTGGGATTAGGGTTCCGTAACTTAAGTCTAAATTTCTAATTGTAGGTGATTATCTGTCTAATTACTTATAAATAATACTAGCGACTCGCACTCGCTTCGCTCGGGTTCGTCCCTAGCTTGATTCCCCATACAAGCTTTCACCCCCATTTTTACTCCCTTAATGGATGATTTCCGGGATAAAAACTTCTTATTAAATTGCATTGGCTCAGTAAATCCAGAGATTACCCCCTACAACGTCACAAGCTCACAAACTCACAAACCTATAAACTCTCAAACTTTACATCTTTATAATATTAGTATAGATGAAAAATACGAGTAGCTGGCATATGTATTATTGAATGGAGAGTACTAGTTTTGTCGGGACAAAACTGCGCAACGTTTTACACTCTATAGACCAGATTTTTAATATACTTATAATATATTTTTTATACATTTTGACATTTATTTCTTTAATAATTTTTTTTTCATGGTATACTCACGATTACATAGTGAAGGCATTATTAATTCGATTTTGTCTTTTCAGATTATCAGTATGGATGAATCTGTTTGTATCATCTGCAATAAGGCAGATGATAAGCAAGTGTATGAGATAAAAAGGTTTTTTGTTTTTTGCATTTTCTCAGAAGATTTACTATAGTAACATAAATTTTTTTTACCATCGGAAAGTAGAGATTTTAACAAATAGAAAACATACCAACTTTTTGAAAAAAGCTGATATTTTGACGGGTGAATTTTCGATTGAAAATTAGGGTGCTTTTTCGATATTAATTCAAAATAAGGTGAAAAATAAATATTTTTAATCAAATAAATTACAGCGTATTTGGGACATAAAAAGGTAAGTTTTCACCAAATTTCGTTATCAAAAATTTTTTTTTGTAAAAGATAAAAATAAAAAACCAAAAACTTGGTTTTTTGAATTTTTCACGTAAATTTTGAGGTTATGTGAAAAAAGTGTAGATACAAAAGTTTTAGATCTTTTTATTACCTACAACTTTGCTATTTGACTTTTTTCGATAGGACTTTTGGTTTTGCCGGAAATCGAGAAAAACCGTTTTTTACCCTTAAAAACTCATCCCCATCCCCTTCCCGACCTCAGATCGCCCGTTTATTTTTTTCCTTTCATTTTTATAATATTCCCCTCCTTTTCTAATGGGTTTCATCCTACTATTATTTTTTTTGGTTTTAAAAATTATCGACCCTGGTCTACTATAGAAATTTCAAGATGAAATTAAAAAGCTGCAAACTTCAAGAGCATTGTAATTTGTAAAAGTTTAAAAATCTTATTATTATTATTATTAAATAATTATTCCATCTTTAGGATGAATTTATTGTAAAATTTATTTGAGACCACTCTTGAGGTATATATACATATGTGTTTTACTTATAATAAAAAAAAATCGTTCTACAATTGGTGAACACTTTGTGGCGAACTTGAATTGAGTACGTGCTATTTTGAATTTGGCTAAAACTTAAAAGTATTTTTAAGACAACTTGTATTTTCTAATTAGCTCAATTTGCCACAAATACGATCGTACGCGATCTAAGTAGCCTGCTATCCCTGTTTTCCACATCAACATCAAAAGGCGTCGGCTTTCATTCTAAATAGGTTTAATATTCCAAGTTCCCGAGATAAAGGAATGTATATGTATATTAATGTCTTGCGACTTTGCGCGAATGATCTTAACTTATTTACTGTATAGTTTTTTCTTAGTAAATTTTTTTATCAAAACCTCGAAAACCTTACCATTTATGATTTTTTTAAACATTCTAGATACGAGACTGGTGTAAAAATATTATAATAATATTAAAATAATTTTTATGCTTATCAAATTATTTCTGTATAGAAACACCTACTACCCCAAACACCGCCCAAACACCTACCACCACCCCAAACACCGCCCACACAACTACCACCACCCCAAACACCTACACCACAAATAACGCCCACCACGTGGTTTTCCAAGAGAAAAACTATCCTATTCCACGCTCAAATCCCATTTGACTTATCTGCTACGAGTAAGTAAGTATGAATAATTGACACACTCAATTGTAAGTATAGATTTACCTGAACATCTTCATGATCAGCTAACAGCAACAAGCCAAATGTTAACGCCGTTGCCGTAGTATCATGGCCCTGGAAAAATATTAGTTTTAAAAAAGTAATTATATACATACACTTATTACGATATAATTATAAAAGTGATCTAATTTAAGCGCAATTCAATTTCATATTGTGCACTTCTTTTTGAGGACACTTTTGAGACGCTAATTGTGTATCTTGAGTTTTTGTATATCAATGGTGTCGGGATAAAAGATAGAATATAAAATTCCTAAGCAAATGGCACGCCAATCTTTTTTTAATCTTTTTTAAGCAGTAAGCTTACAATAGACCAACAAGGATACTTCTGCAACTCTGTATGTATGTATTCAGCCCTTTTTAACGTCCCACTGCTGGGCACGGACTTCCCTTCAGTACGAGGGGGATCAGGCCATAGTCTACCACGCTGGCCGAGTGCGGGTTGGCGGACTTCACATGTCTTTTGAAAACTCGCTAGGTTTTCTCAGACATGCAGGTTTCCTTACGATGTTTTCCTTCACCGTTAAGACAAGTGGTAATCATGATTGGTACATGAAAATATCAGAGGTGCGAGACACCGGGATTTGAACCCGCTTTACTCGGTTTCCCAAGCGAGCGCGTTACCACTGGGTTACCACTGCCTTCCGCAATTACATAATACTTATTAGTAAATGAATATAAAATTACAATGAAAATATTTTAAACAAGAAACAATTTTTTTATAAAATCCTTAAATATACATCCTATTACTTGTTTTGCAAAACTTAACAAAAAATTCTGCATTACGAATTATTTAAAATCAAAATTAAAAAAGAATGTCAAAAATAATATAAGTAGGTATATCATCTTATTTATTCATTATCCATTCCACACAAACAAAAAAGAAAACCAAAATGTCCATTAAAAAAAATATTTTCGAAATTTTCGCCTTTTATTCGAAAAAGTGGATTTCACACATCAGCACTTTATAATATGCCAAAGAATACTTTAAATAGAAAAAGAATGCGGAATTTTGAACATGTGCATTTTGAGTTTCCGTTTTACAAGTAAAAACTAATGGACCCGGTACTCGTCCTAGAATTCTTTTGGTCGAAAAAAAAATCTAAATCTCGACGAATGCAACACTGAGTTCAACTACATATAGTTTAGAACCATCCAAGAGTACACGAAAAAAATTATACAAATCGGTCAAGCCATTTAGGAGAAGAATTACAAACATTTGCAAACCGGAATTTAAAAATAATATATGTTTCGTAATTATAAAGGACTAAAATAATCTATACTAATATTATAAAGAAGAAAGATTTGTTTGTTTGTTTGTACCGATCAGGCTCCGAAATACTAATAAAATACTCAACAGATTTAGATTAAATTTTGATAAGAAAATAGTTTGACCCTGGGAAGGACATAGGATAGTTTCTATCCCGGAAATAATCCCTTAAGGGGTAAAAATTGGGATGAATGTTTATATGGGGAAGCGACCTAGGAATGAACCCGAGCGAAGCGGGGTCGCTTGTCTGAAATAACACTCATCGTTGACCATAATAATCCGAAAAGTTGGCGTAAGCGTAACTATATAGCAATTTATGTTGGGTTTGTGTGGAAACTTAGTATCGATAAAATTGTTTTAACGATTATGAGTTATTAAATCATCAGTATCAGTAATTATCAAAAGAAAAAAAATATAGTATTGGGTAATAATATGAAAAATGTTTTTATTATTGGGTAAGATTTTAATCTTTACTACTAAATTTATTTAGTATCTAAATATAATTCGTTTATACAAACAAAACTTACCTCAAACATAAAAGTGTTTACTTCATCGCGTATCCCTTCCAAATCAATCTCGCCATTCCTCTCAGCTTCCAACAGTAAATCCAAAAAAGCTAATCTCCGTTTTCCAGAAGTTTCATCAGAATTGTTGCTCTCAAACGCCTTCTTACTTTCGGTTATAACATCATCGGCAAATGAGTGAACGCTGTTTAAACATTCTTTAAACTTCTTCCCCAAAGGATGCAAATTGAATATGAAGTCGTTATGAAGATATATTGTTGTAAGCCGTCGCATCACAACATTACCCATATCTAATATCGCGTTTTTGTACTTTGTTTTAGCAGTTGATTTGTCTGAATTGAGTTTTATACCCATCGCGGTTTCTAGAAATAAGATTGCCTTTGTATAAGCAAGTAACATAACATAACGGAATATATTATTTAGTATGGTTTAGCCATACTAAATTTCTATTTAGTTATTATTGGTAGCGATTATATTTTTTAATTTTTATATAAATCATTGTTGTATGTATGTTTCCTATGGAATTTGCGATTTTTATGAAATTTGCAGGCAATCTTAAGATTTTCCCCGCGGGTGATCCTGTGAATTTTGGTAGCGATTGGAAGTTAGAACGCGGGCGAAGCCGCGGGTACTGCTAGTAGATAATAGAATACTATAAATTATTTGACAGTGATATTATATAATTGTATTAGTAGCTATCTAATTGTCATCAGCCAATATGCTGTTCATAAGTTCCATATATGTATGTATTTTTTTTTTATTTTCTATAAGCGATATCATTTATAGGAAGTAATCTTGGCTTGGATCATTTAATGTTACTGTACAAATACAAATCAAAATATATCCTATAAATATTCATATTGAACCCAGCGTCATCTTCATGACCTGATGCCCCAGTACTCTTACAACTATGCAACAGGAGTTACTTATATACTATCAGACAGGTTATTTAAAAGTATATGAAAAATATTGATATAAAAATACACTCACCGCAAATAATATACAAGGTAAAATCACTTATTAGCGGCATCACATCGACTACGTTGTTTCCATCTTTTACTGTTTGTTTGAGATGTGTCACCAAATTCCTCCCTTGCTCCTCAAATACCCGCATGAAACTCTTTAAAATGTCGAAATGAAATGCGGGTGTTAAAATTTTTCGACGTCTATGCCACACTGCACCTAAAAATTGCGAATTTTCAGAACAAATATACAAAAAATGATACATCTATACTAATATTATAAAGAGGTAAAGTTTGTGATATTGTGAGTTTGTGACGTTGTAGGAGTATTTTCTGGATCTACTAAACCGATTTAGATGAAATTTGGTAAGAAGATAGTTTGAGACCCTGAGAAGGACATTTTCCGGGATAAATATATCCTATTTATCCCGGAAATCTATATATTATATCTTAATATTTGTATCCGAATATTATATATTTTTATCCCGGAATCGTCCCTTAAGGGGATGAAAATGAGGATTAAAGTTTGGGGAAGCAAGCTAGTCTATACATATAATAAAATTATAACTGAGTTTTCAATAGAATCATATTTAAGCCTTTACACTACTGTCACTGTATGCATCTTTAGGAACAAAACAAACACAAAAAAGACAAAAATAATGTATATACACAAAAACTATTTTCTATCTTCACTCGCGACTCCGCGAAAAAATATACCTACTGTTATTTTTCAGAAAATCCATGATATATTCTTATGTCGCTCCAAATCCATTTCGCCGTTACAGCTTAAAAAATATACATATACAGTATATACCTCTATACAGATAAATAAAATTGAAGTGTCTGTTTATAATTTGAAAATTCAAAGAGCTTTTTACTAAATACATATAAAATTATATTATGTACTTATAAGAAAAAGACAACTTTAAAAATGTTTGTCTATCTGTATGTTTGTTCCGACTAATGTCCGAATGGTTGGACCGATTTTAATGGGACTTTCACTCGCAGATAGTTGATGTTTTATTGTAGAAAAATAATTAGGGTTCCGCTCAAAAAAAACGTAGCTATGGACGCACCCAGCGAAGCAAGGGCAAGTCGCTACGTATACTAACATTTTAGTGATACGATACAAGTATTGAATCCAAATTATGTAGTGTAAATAAAACATTTAACATAAACTTTTTTAATACTGTAAATAAGAAAATTGAATTGAATTATAAAGAAACTACATGTTCAATCATAATGATCATTAATTTTTTTTTTCTCTGAACAACGATTCAGAAGGTTGAACTAATTAGACAAAGCTATTAAATTAACAGACGTGCTAATTAAACAAGTTTATAATCAACCTTCCAGAAGCCGGGTGTAAAAGTGATTAGCATATTTTATTAATTAGAACCGAAGAGAAAGAAATAATTCCTTTGAGATAAAAAATCTAAGAGAAAACTGTTAATGCTAAAGCTAAAGAAAAATATTATTAGATTAAAACCTTCACAGACAGTCAAAGGTTAGGTTAAGTACACAATTGACAACAAAAGTATTTTTCATTAAAATCTTTTTCCTCTGTAAGGATCAGATTATTTGATTTCTTTGCGTTTTAAATGGTATAGGACAACAAAGGATTCCTGCAGTATAAATGACAAAAGCATTGTATTTTTTTTTGTTTATGTTAATAATGTCAAAGGGAAATCGAAAGATCCGTTAAATTATAAGTAATTTCACTAGTGAAGTCTTAAGTCTATGGCTCGTACTGCACATCAAAAAAGATGTCTAAATTGGCAGCTATTCTATATAGCTTATTTTAAAAAATAAAATAATGATTCCATTGCGTGAAATTTAATATTTTCATTAGTTATAGTAGTTTTAAATTTAAGAAATAGTATAAAAAATGTTTTAAAAGAGAAAAAAATCGAAAGTGCATAATAATATTACAAGACTTCCGCGATACCATTCAGAAAAAGAGAGACAATAGCATTCCCAAGGAGGGTTGACGTCAGGCAGGCGGCCGGTCGTAAAACTTTTGCCAAATCCTTTCAGCAGTACAGAAGATGTACTTTTTTTTTAACGTTGGGAAATGCATTTACGCACGACGTGTGGGACTCACCGGCGTAATACAGCCAGTACTACCCACTAAAACCCAACAAAACCTTCCCCCGTCATAATGGGGCGTCGCAGGATCGCTTACGCATTCAACTACGACGCCCCGACGGCAGGTCTGCCAAAGCAGACCACCACAACCATGGGGTTACTCCAAGGTCCACTCTGCTATCAGAGAAGTACCAGGAGCAACCCGCAAGGTACACCGCCCCCCGAAGAGGGCCACCTCCCTGTGCGTTTCTTAGCTTCGCTACTACTACTGAGCTCCCCCACCACGACAAGGTGAACGCACGTTGGGGGGGACAGAAGATGTACTGCGCCGACCCCAAGTGATTGGGAAATGGGCAGGGAGAAGAAGATAGTTGTTTTCTTCCATTTCTCGTTCGTTTGTTGCACGAAGCTAGCTATGTATGACCGTTACGTACAATTGTAAAATTTCATTTTTCTATAATTTTAAGATACAATGTTTGTTCTAGATTTATCCTTACTACACTTACGACATAAAAACTTATAGGTTAGTTTCGATTAGTGAATCAGTTTGTTTTGCATTTTCAGTCGGTTCGATTAGTCTTTGCTTTTCAAATTAAATACAATTATTATAATTATCAAAGATGAAAGAAAGGTTCCTTTGAATAAAACTTATTATTTTCAATATTTAAAATACTTTCCTGCCCTGTCCAGATCTCTTATTCCACCCTGTATATTTATGTACTTATATTACATAAGTATACAGTAATACAGTGAAAAAGGCACAATGTTCTAATAGTCTTTCATTGAGTCATACGTTACAAGGCACTAACCTTTTAAAAAAATGTTAATAGAAACATATATGGAGGGACATTAAGAAATAAATATGTTGGAACATTAACACACAGCATCATCTTGTTCCATGGTAAGCACTGGCACAGCAAGTAGCATCACTTTAAATAGAGCCAAACGTAGTATAAATTCGCGGTGCACGGGAAAATCATATATGATTTTTGTTTCGCTGTTAGTGTTTAGATTATTGTTTTAAAAAATGTATTAACATTTTAAATAAAATAAATAAAAATAAATTATGAATACAACAAAAACTTAAATGCTATATATATAATCATGACATTTTCTTGCTTTTTGTTAATCAAGTCTTTGTTTTAAAATTCAGACCCTTTGAGCACCTTTGAATTGTTCTGAAACTACTTATTCTAACTACTTATCTCGTAATTTTAAAGTTATTAGGGAGGTATGTTCAATCAATGTTCATTTATTTGTTTATTTTTATTTGTTTATTTTTATTTTATGTTCATTTATTTATTTATTTTTATTTAAGCCGTTTTAATAGTGAAATCTACTCTCTGTGAAATATACTCAAAATGAGTAGGTAATAGAAATACAGATTCAGTTTTGAGATTTTGAAAAAATATTACATTTTTAATTAAAGTAAGTATGTTACTATTGTATTATGATATAGTAAATATATATATATATATATATATATATATATATATGTATATATGTTATATATATATATATATATATATATATATATATATAGTGAAATATTTTACCATATCATTTCATCATTATTTCATGTTGATTCATAATGATGAAATTCAGATAGAATATGAACTCTAGAGGGTAATAGGTAGCACATATGTACATATATATTACTAGCAAAACCCGCGGTTTCGCTCGCGCTAAAACTACAAAAAAATCTCTAAAAAGATAGTTTCATACAAACTTTCATCCTCCATTTTACCCCCTTATAGGATGAATTTGGAAAAATGTTAAAACATTTATTTTTTTGAAGAGCATTAATACCAAGATTCAAGTAATTCTGATCATTAATATTTTTTGGATCGTATTATAACGTGTTTTCACACAAAAAGTCAAGCCAATCCATCGCTCCGTTTCGACGTGAAAGAAGGACACACAAACAGACACACTTTCACATTTATAATCTTAGTATAGATAATATAGACAATGTTCATAAACAAAAACGAGTTTCTTTTTGGAAAAATTGTAATAAAAACAAACACTTGCCTGTACTAACTAATAATCCAGATCCGAGCCACGGCATCATGAAGCTGTACGGCTTGTTTTTCTTGATATTTTTAGAGTGTGTAAGCACAATCTGCAAAGAATACACTAAGTAACTATTAACTCTTATAAAGTTTATTTTCAATATGAAAATCAATAATTATAGATAGCTTTAAGCTGTATTATTATGGACATAATGGAGAGCGACTTCTTCTCTTCGTGATCTTCTTTTTCCGCAAACCAAAATCTATCACCACTTTATATATATATATATATATATATATATATATATATATATATATATATATATATTCTATATATTTATATTTATATATATATATATATTATATATATATAAATTGGAATTTACAAAATCTACTAAATAAATAATTTATTAAATAAAATGTTCTGTCATCGAAGTATCCTAGACACATTTTTGCTCCATCATTCGTTCATACTTATTGTAATTTAGATCGTATTACGTAGGTCTTGAACGATTTCCAATCACGGCGGTCAATCTGAGCTAGTATTGGCATAATATAAAAATATATACTGGCTCAAACACTAACTTAAAGTAGGCTAATGACATTACTATATGACTTACACCACACTAGCCTTCTACGAAATAATAATTATAGTGGACTAGCGACTCACCCTCGCTCCGCTCGGTTTCGTCCCTACGTTTTAACGTTTAGTATAGATTTCTCAGAGATGACATATTTTCCCACAATAAAAAGTATCCTATATGTCGACCCGAAAACGAGCTACTTTCATACTATCATCATAAAATTTAATACATATACAGGGTCATTTTTAATTTACTGAAAACCTTTTGGGAATATACTATTTACATCATAACAAAAACATCTGTAACAAGAAAAAGTTCTTAAATTTTTATTTTCATACAAAAATAAAAATATCATTTTTGCACCTTCTAAACTTTAAAGTTATAGCATCTGGCCAAGTTTAAATGAGTAAGCGCGGCTTCCTACACACCTCCACCCCTCCCCCTCCACCGGATACACACTTTCTTTTGCTAATGCTGGACTATTACCGTTTAAAAGGTGCAATATAATTTTTTTTTTTGTTAAATTGAAGATATATAATTTTTTTTCTTACAGATGTTATTGTTATATTGTAAATAGTGTATTCCCAAAAGGTTTTCAGTAAATTAAAAATGACCCTGTATACTATATGATCTGGAGTAACACAGGCTACTCGTGGAACTTAGTGAAGCAAGCGAGTAAAGAGTGTAAGTTGCTAGTTATATGTAGGTATATACTTAAAAAAATTAAGCGTCTGTGATTTCAAACTAATTTTCTCTCCTGAAATTTTCTTTTTTCTTTGTCTAGTTTCAGAATAAAATTAGTACAATACATGGGGTGATATAAATACATATGTATGTACAATTTATATACATATATAATTAATTTACATACATATATAAGGCAAACTCTTTGCTACCTGCAAAGAGGTAACTTGTGCGCACTTGTACACACAACACTTGTGTATAGTACCTAATGGAAAATAGATTGGCGCAGTGATTTAAACTTTAAAATCGGTCAAGAGAGCATTTTGTATGTACTATAATATATATAATTTTAATAAAAAAAATCTTACTAACCTCAATATCCTTGACATTGTAAACGTGTAGTATATATCGACCTATGACTTTAACGCAGACTCGATGGCCATAATTCTTAGGAAATCCTTCAAGCATTTCGAAAATCTGCGCTAAGATAAAAATAAAAAAAAAGATTAATATTAAATTATACACGTAAGAAAAAATTCAATGTAAAAAAAATTGAGTTGAAATATTATTTTTTCTTTTAACGCTAGTTTTTTTTTAAATAGAGGATAGAGATAATGATTATATTAGCTTCCAGTCTGCATCAACACAAAAAAACATATTGTCGAACTCAGGGTTGTTCAATTTTTGAGTTTGATAATTTATAAAAAGAATTGTTCAAAATTATTTGTAAATTGACATTTTTTTAAATTGAACTCATCTATAAAATACATATAACCCACACAGATCGGTCGATCGGCCGGCAGAGTCTCAGTGAGATCGGCCATTGTCAATCAAATTCGGTTGCGATACAAAAAAGAGGACATTTACATTACTTTCATTATATTATAAATAGTTTCGATGTATGTATTATATACATACATCAACGTTAATCACCTCCAGGTAAATTTCTAAGAAATTAATTAAAATTCTAAGAAGTCTATTGTTAACTGACACGCCGGCGTGTCCGCGGTCATGGAGGGATTAAGGCAAATAGTTCACTAATGATCAATGTTTAAAATCATTACAATAAAGATTACGTGTCAATACTAACTTAGCTTATTTACGAGTATACATTAAGAAATATCAATAACCATAAAATAGCAGCCAGTACATTTATTTTTGCTTTAAGTACCTTATTTTCTCACTTCATATACTTTAGTTTTACTGAGAAAATTATTTGCTTTACAAAACAAATAGAGATAAGAAATGTTTTCCGTCAATATAAATATTTTAAATGCAGCTTTGTATCTTAAATAGACTGAAATAATATAACTGTCTAGTCCCCAGTGAAACAACTATGGCTGATATTGCGATGGTCCAAGATTCGAGTCCCAAGTTAGACCAAAAGAGTTATCCAGCAGGAGTTGGAAAGTTGATAAAATTACATTCCAGTGCCTTTGAGATAAGGACGTTAAAGCCTTTCGTTCTCCTTCTTATCGTATTATCATCGTCCAATCGGGTAATTTATGTAAATTTGTGTGTGCGTGTGTGTGTGTGTGTGTGTGTTTGTTACTTCTTCACATTACGGCTAGATGGATTTAAATGAAATTTAGTAGGTATACAGATACACTATGACGCTTGGATACAAAGGAGTGGAATTTACAAAATCCCGTTCTCAGTGAGCGTCCACATCGCAAAAGGAGTAACTTTCCTAAATTTTAAATCATTTGGACTTATAGTTTCGGAGATGATGTGAGTGAGTGATATTTCGATTATTTATATTTTATACTAAAGCAAACCTGTCCCTCGGGAACCGTATATTTTTCCGGGATAAAAAGTGTGTTATTCCAGACTATAATCTACCTTTGTGCCAAATTTCATCCTGATCCGTTCATCGGTTCTGGCGTGAAAGAGTAACAAACATCCATACATACTCACAAACTTTCACATTTATAATATTTATACTAGACTTGCAACGAATATTCGGCTACTGCTAGGTATTCGGCCTATTCGGCTACTTTTTATGCTATTCGGCCGAATACCGAATACTTCAGTAGGTAATATATTTTGCTGTTATCTTATATCTACTACTATTACCACTAGCGATTCGCCCTTGCTCCGTTTGGGTTCGTCCCTATTTACGTTTTAATGTTTAGTATACATTTCTCAGAAATGAGATATTTTTCCGCAGTAAAAAGTATCCTATATGTTGACCCGGATAACCAGACTTAGAAGCCTTAGACCTTACCTACCTACACATATATAACTTTGAATACATACATATTATAAATATAAACATCCATGACTGGAGTGCAAACATTCGTGCTCATCACACAAATGAATGCCCCCAGCGGGACTCGAACCCGCGACCGCTGGCACAGCAAGCACTAGAAACTGAGCCAAACGTGTAGCCTTTGCCATCTATAAAATATGCTCTAGTTTTTCAATTGTATATTTTGATATCCATACAAACAATATTTTAAAAACTGTTGTGTTGTTCATTCGAAATATTCGTTTATTCAAAAAAATATTTATCTTTCAATATTAAGATTCATTTTTATTCTACACATATATAGCCCAAATCATTATTTTTATATCCTGTGACACAAGTTGTTTTATTTCTAAAATATATTTATATATTTGTAAAAACTCGCCCCGGCTTACCCCTGGAGAGTTCTTTTAATTTGAAACTGTCATTTCTTATAATACTGCTTCATATTCTCCTTATAAAAGACATGCTTTTCCTATATTTTTATTCCCTAGGTATTTTAAATAGTAATCTAAGCACAAGAACGCTAATGTTATAATCGGTTTAACCAGAAATAGAACCGCAGACAGACAAAATAACTTTTATAATGATATCTTATATTAATATGAATGGAAAATATTACATTTTTTTTCTTATATAGAAGCGAACGAACTCTGTATCAAGCCAGCCAAATAATAATCGGTGAGGTCAAACGTGACGAGTTATGAGATGTTTGTCCGTGAATTATTTTTATGTCTAAAACTTTGAATGGAATTAAAAGTGTACAAAATCGCTAGGTTAATAAAAATATAGCCATTAAACATTTAAAAGCAAATTAACAAATTAATTACTAAAATAAACCCTTAATTGTTATTTTTTAGGCTCCAAATCAAGTGCTATTTTACCATTCAAAATTAAAAAAAAAAACAATAAAATTTTAAGTCATTCAATGCGCTCCTGCTCCTGCTCTTGGGCTTCAATCAAACCATACAAAATTTCTTATCTTACTAAAGCACTCCACGAAAATTCATTTCACTATTGAACATTCCTTTATTAAAATAGAATTCTTTAAAACGATCCGTCTGCCTTATTTTTTTACTTCGAAATCTCATATTTTCTTTTATTGCAATAGCTTACATTACAATTATTTTCTTTTATTGCAACATTGACCTTGGCTTCAACTTTCTTTTTCCAAAAAAACTACCTACTAATAATATAGTAGCGACTTCTCGATTTTCTACAATATTTTGCAGTTGAATTAATCGCGCTTCATTTATTTGACGATAATTAGTAATAGATTTTCTATTGACAATTATTACTTATAATACCTACTTTAACAAACAATGTAGAATAGTATACGATTATATCTGCGAACACGATTTATTCTTTATCTATACTAATATTATAAAGAGGCAGTTTGTTTGTTTGTTTGTTTGAACACGCTAATCTCAGGAACTACTAATCCGATTTGAGACATTCTTTTCCATTAGACAGCCCGTTTATTGAGGAAGGCTATAAGATATATATCATCATACTACTACCCAAACCTCCGTTTGGGTAATCATAAATGTCAGTAATCATAAATGTCAACAAATCGGGCATACTTCCATACATTATTGTAAAACTATATGTATTAATATATATACATACATAGGGACGAACCCGAGCGAAACGAGGTAGAGCCGCCAGTTTTAGATATCAATAGTTAATTACCAAAAAATATCGGTTTGGGACCGTCAAATTTGAATGAACATATTGTGGATGAAAATAAACAAATAAACAACGAATACGAATATAATTGATATGCTTGACCGCACTTGATTGAATTTTAAAATGTCGCTCATGTATCCGAACTCTATAAACATATAATATGTTGCAAATATTTGTTTATTTAAATACTCACATTGTAAATATATATGACCTAAAAAATGACTGTCCATTGTCCAATATCAAAAATAATAAAATACAAAATATATTTATGTACTATTTTTCTGAAAATAAATGCAAATGCTATAAACCAGGTGTTATTTAAAAAAATACGTTTTGAAACGTATTTATTTTGCAATCGTAAACAAAACTATTGATATACCTACCTATATGTTATACTATACTATGTACTTCATATAAAAACTAGACACTCGCCTTCGCTTTGCTCGGTTTCGTCCCTAGCTTGATTATTCTCCATACAAACTTTCATCCCCATTTTCACCCCCTTAAGAGATGATTTCCGACTCTCAAACTATCTTCTTACCAAATTTCATCAGTAGATCCAGAGACTACCCCCTACAACGTCACAAACTTACAAACTCACAAACTTTACCTCTTTATAATATTAGTATAGATATATTAAAAAAAGGTATATACGATTTTGACATCAATTTCCACATACAGCACATACAGAGATAACAGATCACAAATACTATGCTAGTACAAATGCCTCATCCGATACAAAGAAATTGGACAGCGCTAATTAAGGCTATTCTTCGGGCTATTTTTGTTTGGTTGAATAGATATATAATAGATGTTATTGATTCGCAAATAGTTAAACTGTTTTATTATATAAATATGTGCAAACTAACGCATGTAAATATTGTAAAATTCAATAATATTAACTTTTACCCGCCAACCAACTTGCAGGGTATGTCAGTAAATTTAACCTACTAGCGACTCACCGTCGCTTTGCTCAGGTTCGTCCCTAGGTACATTTTAACGCTTACTATTGAATAGATTTTATTTTTCAATTTTTTTCTAGTGAATTTTCCGAAGTTTTAATAGTTATTCTACTATTCGGGGCAGAGACAAATCTAACAAACCAAAAACAATATTTTACTTCCTATTTACAATAATGATTAAAATATCCTTAAACAACCCGTTATATTGATATGGAAAAATAAAAAAAAATACAGGGAACTAACTTTAATAAATATATGTATACAATCTCAAATGATCCTTTTTTCGACCAACAATTCATTAATTTTATTTCAGTAAATCTTACATGATATAACCAACGAAGTAAAGCCCGAGTCCGATGCTATATAAGCATAAAAAAATAAAATATTCGTGAATTATTGTGTACACGTCCGCAAACTGACAGTTTCATAAACGAAAGATGGACGTGACGCGCGATTTGTATGGAAATAATACGATACTTGTTAATATTCATATCGCGTTCCTATAACATTCGTCTGATTTTGATGAAACTTTAAAACTTTGCTTATTGAAATTCCTTCCCCGGTGTCTGATACATATATATAT